GTGCTATTACAAAAAAAAAAAATCATTTTGGTCAAGCGGCTTAACAGGTTCTGATAACTGATTTAGTAGGGGCTAACTTTGCTTCCCTCTGAGGTATGTAGCCTCTGGCCCTTCCTTTTGGATAGGTGGATGTAAACACTTGCTGTACCTAACAGCCACAGGCTAAAATCCATCTTTTGTTCGGTGTCTGTAAATCTTGTTTAGAAGCCCTGAACCAGAATACCCAGTCTTTGTGGCAAAGCATGGGAGATAGCTCTTGGGAAAGTTCCAGCAGTGTGAAGACCCAGGTATCCATTATCACCCCACTATCAGCTTTCGTTCTGAGCATCGGTGGGGAGGAGCAGAAGAAAGGATGGCTCCAGTATTCAGAGGGAGATGCAGCTTCCTACCTGGCAGGAACAGAGTCTTTTGGAAGTGTTTCTCCCCCGTCGCTAAGTCTCCTTGTTCACAGAATGGAACAAGTACTACATGGTACTTACCCTGGGATGGTTTTTTTTTTTTTTTTTTTTTTTCTCCCCGTTGTTGAATCAGGACTGTATTGTACAGGAAAGGGAAAGGGTTTCCTCCGTCTGTTACTGGGACATTAATGACTGATGTGAGCTTGGAGTGCCACAGTCTAGAGAGTGACGTAAAGTCTCTTTGATTTAGTGACCTCATCACGTTTAGCTTTGCTCTTTGTGGAAAGAAATGTCATGGGGACTGGTGATGTACACTGCAGGTGAGAAGCTGCCACTGGGGAAAGCCTTCCAAGTGGAAAGGTCTACCCAGAGACGAATGCATTGCCAAGCAACAGAAATGTGTGGCGGTTGTGTTTTTACTATTATTACTATTATCATAGGAAACCTCACCAGCAAAAATGCTGAGCTCCCCAAGAAAACAAATGATACAAAGGCACCCTGTGTTGACCATAACAGAAGTGAGCCACTTTCTTTCTGTCACAAAGTCTATTAGTTAATGTAAGATAACTTTCTTCCTGGAGGGAATTAGTCATGTTCCGTAGAAGATGCTGAAGTAGAGGCATGATGAGTAGCGAGTTACAAGACTGTCATATTGAACTCTCCCATCCCTCGAAGGCACACTCATTCTCAGATGTAGTAATTGGGACCCACAGAGGCCAAGTGATTTTCCCAGTACCACCACCTGATGAGCACGGGATTTAATACTCATGATTTAGCCACTACCAAGAGAAAAAACTAAAACAGAAATCATCTGTAACTCCTTAAGAGTTCTGGTCCCAGGAAAGTTCAGAACTATTTCATCCCAAATGTTCCCTCAAGACAGTCTTCTTTTGCCCCCCTCTCCATGGTAACTCTACAAAATGAAATACAAAGTTGGCATTTATTTGTTTAATTTGAGCTACTTAAGTAGTAAAACCAGATAATTATTAGATTGTAAAACCCAGGAGTCTGGAATTACGTCTTAAACACTATGTTGCACCATAAACTATAAATTTAGCATGGTCTTAAAAATGGATCATTGTCAGATTTATGTCAGGCTCAAAAGGTTTCTTTTTTCTCTCAGAAGGTTTCTGTTTTTCTTTTTTTTCCCTCCCCCCCCACCCACTGTTGTTAACTGGATGATCTTGTTTAGCTACTTCAGAGTTCATAACTAGGGAGCAGCCAACTTCTCTTCATTTTGTCCTTAAAATACACAGCTCCAGGCGGCTAGCAATTATTTACAATTATGAGGGCTATGGAATGCAAGCTATTGCTCTAGGTAAATCTTTCTACTTAGTACACAGCTAGTGTGTTTTCATTTTACTTATATTTTTATTTGTTCATGGGAAGACTGTCAGGGGTATTTAATGTTCCATTTCTCTTAGAAGAGTCTGCCTGGGTGACCGTTAACTGGGGAGTGCTTCCTTTGTTAAGATTCTATTTAAAGAAGCCAGGCATGATGAAGTTTACCTTGAATCCCAGGACTGCAGGGGCAGAGGCAGGTAGATCCCTGAGTGCCAGGCTAGCCAGGGCTACACAGTGAGACACTGTCTCAAAGACAATGACAACAACAAAGAGTTCTATGTAAAATTCCTTTAATGTATAGCGTGTGTTCTTCATGCCCCTGTGGCCTTGGCTTGCTTGTCCAGTTGTGGGTCTGAAGGTGGCTGGTAGGTGTTGCTCTTTGCCCTGTAGCTGAGGGACTAGTTCCAGTTCCTTGTCTTTAACAGAAGCCCTGAGGGCCCTGCCCACATAGTATGGGCCAGGAATGAGGCCCTCTCCACTTCATGCCCAGGCCTGGAAGATATTCAGTAAGTACAGACTGTGAGTGAGTTCTTGTGGCCAAGGGACTTTTGTGGCTTTCCAAATTTCAGAACTCTTGAGTATCTGCTGAAGTCAGAATCTAATCTGTTTTCTAGTCATTATAGAGGAAAAGGTTACTCTGAAATATTTTGACTTAAAAATAAAAAACCAAAGTATGGTAGAGTATGGCAATAGAGTTAAAAAAAAATACTACAGTCTGGAATTCAGATTACTGTGGTCCAGTTGAATGGGGACAAAGTAGTTCAAGGAAAAGAGAAGCAAATAACAAAAAGCTCCTAGGGAAGAACTTCGAAAATATTTTTATTTTGATTTAGGTAATATGGCTATTCATGACATATACAAATATCAATTCTCTGTTTGCTTTGATATTTCAGCTGTAAAATTGTTCTTGATAAATTGCTGTATTCAATTTAAATGTAGGAGCCTGTCCCTACCTACCTGCCTTTACAATGCTGTATGTGGTCTACGAATTTAAAAGCGCCAGAAGGTGTTTTGAAAAACATAGCTTCATTATTTATGGTCTTAGTTTTATTTAAGCAAACCTATCTCAGAGAGAAAGGACTTAACCTACATAGAGATGAGGCTTTGTCAAAATGCAGGTGTCCTGATAATAGCAAGTTTAGCATGTTGTACAGCACAGTCTGAATCTCTCCAATACCCTCTACTTACTGGACCACACATCATTCCTGTGCTCAGAGCCTTGTAAGGGCCTTCCTGTATTCTCTGTCCTACCCCCACCCCTGTTCCGCCACCCCCCACCGCACCTCCACCCGACCGCCATCTCCAACAAAATAAAACAAAGCTAGACAAAATCTTGCCTCGACACCTTTGAAAGCCTTGGCAAGTTCTGTCTGCCCTTTGTACTTGAATGACAATATCACATCTTACCTTTTCAAATGACACACTCCTTGTGTGTCTCTAATCCCAGACACTTGTGGGGATTGCTCCCACACAGCCCCCCACATGGACATGACACCTTAGTGTACACCCGCCGCCCCTCACCTTGGCTGTTCCTTGGACTCCCTGTGGGGGTTCTTACTCCTTTCATGGGCACATGACACCAAGCCTGTGTGACCTGAGTGGCCAACCACTTCCCACTAGTAAAGTCTCCTCATCTATCCACTCCATAAAGCAATCAAAGCCTGAACCTTTGTCTCCTCTAATCTCTGAAACAGACCTTACATTTTTTCACCTCTGCCCTACACTGTTAACACTGCCTTACTTATTAACCCCTCTCCATTAAACCACTATCTAAATGATACCAGCAGTGGGCTCCAGTTTTAAAGAAGCCACATTGAATACAAGAGGCCCATCCTTTACTGATAATGTAGGGGCAGACTGACAGACAAACCCTTGTTGAGAGTGTAATGTAGGCTCTGTCAGTCTTGAGCAGGCAGGGACTTGGCTTTATATACTCTTGTAATAGGAACAAGATAGGGTGTGGAGAAGGACATTGCCATTTCTTGTAACTTAAGGCCTTATTGTCTTGGGCAAATTAAACTCCCAGAGCCTCAGGTTTAGCTGTAAATTTGAGATGGTATTAACTGCTTTATACTATTATTCCAAAATCTAAGGCAATGTATCAAGTTCTTATCCTGGATCCTGGCACACAGTAAGTAGGCAATGCTAGCTGGCCCCAGCTCTCCTTGGAGAGTTATGCACCTGGTAGACATTGAAAGGATGGGGTGGGTTTCATGGCAAGATTATATCCAAACCCCAAATACTAAAATAAGCTGGTTGAGTATTGCTGTGTATTCCACAGCAGGCGTGTTCATGGTCAGAATGCAGAAGCCAGCAGCACGCCTATAGCACCCAGCCCCAACATGCCAATGTCTCCTGAGCTTGGTTTCTTCCGTTTTTTATTGAAAAACCTTGATTCCTGAAATTACAAGACCTTCCTCCTAGTGGATACTCAGAAAATACTGTATTCAATGGTGAATTACAGAATACACCTGTGCCAACAGCCTTTTACAAGGTTTCCAATGTCCTGTGACAT